ATATATATATATATATATATATATATTGTCATCCATAGAAAGACTGTTTCGCTGTATCACAGCTCATCAGTATGACTAGATGTCCGGCTGCCTCTAGGTAGGATTGAAACAAGACTTAAGTGGCGTCAGTTGGGGGAGGGATTCTACCACTAAGCCGTTTGCGCACGGTAGGTGAAGGTGAATTTAAGCGTATTTAATTTTAGATAAACGCACGTTTCTTGAGAGAACTCCATTCGATTTACCGAACTTATAGAATTGTGCCATGTGTCCTCGAGGACAGTCGATATAAGGCGTTAGTAAGATCCAGTGACAGGACCCAAAAAATGTGAGTTCAATACCCGGTTAAGTCAGTGGAGAACTTGCAGAGGGGAATTAACAGGAGATAACTGATAACTGACAACCATTGAACATGGTAAGTGGAACTAGAACAGTCTACCCCAATGAGCGAAACAAGGGGTTCAGTTCGACATTCCAACCACCTTAAGAAGACGCGGGTGTCAGTAATTTTGTAACAAATACAGCGACAAATATGAGGACAATAGACCGAATAATGTAAATAGTAAACAGTCAATCTATATGTTATGAATTTTATCTAATGTTTTTACAGTTGGGGTATCGTGATATACAGGGTGCGATGGATAAATTGTCGTCTAGATGCCGCAAAAATGAAAATTACTATGACATCTCATTTTAACAGATATATTTACCAAAATTAAACATAAATAAATTGAAACAACAAAGAATAAATTTATTCAATAAAATCGCCATTGGCTTCAACCACGGCATCTAGACGACTTCGGAATCTCCTTTAACTCTTCTGGACCGTCTCCTTATTTAAATGGGTGAATGCTGCCATAATCCTTGACTCCAGTTCATCTTTGGTCTTACAAGGTGTTTTGTTGGTCTCTCAATCGATTGTGCACCACACATAATAATCAAGGGGATCGCAGTCTAGGGAGTTAGGTGGCTAGATGTAAGGCGTGACGTGGCCGCAGAAATTGTCTGATATTCATGACTGGATTCTCTTGCCTGTGTGGCATAGTGCGGATTCCTGTTGCCAGACATAGGTTCTCCCAGCCGACACCCTCTTGGCCTACCTCCTCAAGGCACTTGATGTAGGACTGCGCGTTTATTCTCAAGCCCTGTGCGAAGATGAATGGAGGCATAACGTCGCAATCATTAGTGATCACTCCAAACATCATGATGTTGACTGGATATATCATCCAGCATTTTCCGAATTCGCTGAACTGTCCTCTCAAATTTACACACAAACAATCTGAAATGTTTGTATTGAAGCTTCCGCCGGGAATGCCAAGCAGTACAGCATGCCGTTCTAAAATTTCTAGCGAAACGAATTGAGTCATATTGCTCTTTTTCTCACAAACTGGGGCCCCAACTTAGCCTACTATTCTGTGCAGTCGACAAAATCAAAAACAAACAACGCGCATGCGCAAAATTAAAAATATAAAATGGAGTCAATTTACGCATCACACCGAGTAGAGCAGGAATAACTAAACCAGATCTGGCAGCAATATTCAATGCGCGGACGAATGGACGATTTATAAATCTGCAAGATAGATTCTGACGAGAAAGATTGTCTGCCAGGACACTGTTAATCCAACATTTTTAGTAACAGAATGTTTCAATATATTCACTCTATTTCATGTCAGTAGAACCCAGACGACCAAGGAGTGATGAGTTGCTCTCCTGAAGGCTAGCATCAATCAGTCATACAGAAAATATAAATGGTTCTCTCTGATGATTAAAAGATAGTAGTTTCGTTTTGGAAGTGTTAAAATTTACAAGCCACTTCTTGGTCCAGTAAACAACTGATTGGAGGTCCTTCTCGAAAATTTTACTTTATTTGATATATCGGGCGTAAATGGTTGAATCCTCTGGACAATTAAGTCTGGCGTATCGGAGGGAGAGACTAATCAGAAACTGCAAAATAAGGATTATTTGAAGGTTACTATATTGAACGCGATGGCCAACTTCAATAATAATAATAATCTGATCCAGGCAAGTAATCCATCTTGAGAATAAATTATGAAGAATTTTCCTGTTTTTTTTTTCTTGGATTAAAATGGATACAATACTTTTTAATGTTGATTTATTTATAAGTCTATCATTTCTGTTTACAGATTACTGATCAGAAATCATATCCAGTGTATGACTTAGATCGACATAAACGTTAGCCTTTCTGATATCTATTTAAAGGTAGTGGACGGGACGCTTTCAGGTCTGTATGCAATGTTCTCAATCTGTCTGTATTTCTGAGATGAGGTATTATGTACATTATTTACATTATTCGTACTATTGTCCTTATCTTTGTCGCCATATTTATCACAACGTTTCGGCCGTTTTACGCTCCGGCTTTCTTCAGTTGGTTGGAATATCGAACTGAACCCTTTATTTCGCTCACTAGGCTAGACTGTTCTAGTTCCACGTGCCATGTTTGATGGATGTCAGTTATCTCCTGTTAATTTCCCTTTGAAAGTTCTCCACTGCCTTAACCGGGTATTGAACTCACACTCTTTAGGTCCTGTCACTGGACCTAACGAACGCCTTTATCTACTGTGCCATGGCACGTGGAACTAGAACAGTCTACCCCAGTGAGCGGAATATAGGGTTCAGTTCGAAATTCCAACCACGTGAAGAAGGCCAGAGCGTACAACGGCCGAAACGTTGTGATAAATATGGCGACAAAGATGAGGACAATAGTCCGAATAATGTAAATAATGTTCTTAATATTCTGCATTTTCCTTTCTCTGTTTCCATTAACGCTACCAGATTTATCAGATATTTCCTTGCTAGTCAATCTATTTGTTCCTTAATCTTTATATTTCTTGAATCTACTTTTATAAAACATATGAGTCTATTATTGTCACTTGCAGTTTTAATTGCTCTGAGAACATAATTCCTAAATTTAAATCCCCAAATTCGTGTTCTCATCTTTTTACTTTTTATTGGTTCAGATTTCGTTTGAGGGAAAGTGGTGGTAGGAAGGGAAATAATTAATTACGCATGATTCAGAGATTAATGATGATGAAAAAATTGCCCAGGGAAATAATTATTCATTATTCTCGTTAAATAAGACAGCATCTTCACTCGGACACGAATCACTTGACTGTTTGATTGCAGCCGCTACAAACAAAAGTTTCATTATTGAATCCAGAATTTTCACTTCAAAAATAGATATAGAATTAAAAAAATGGAGTCTTTATAAAAAACATTGTTTACTGAGTATGTCCCCACTGAAATAAGCGAGCCGTTCAATCAAACTCTTGGGACGCAACAGCGATTTATTGGCTTGATTCATCCACCTCATTGATCGCCATTTTTTCACCGAGAAACACCGAAATTCTCGTTTAAAATTAATCTCTAAAATTCATCACTAGTTGACATGAAGGTCATGTGAGTTGTGTACGTTTAACCTTGCATTTTGATTGACCAGCATTTTAAAATTCGTCTTGGCTAGACTTAAGAGGCACACTGCTCGATATGAATAGTGCCAAGGGTTACTTTCATCTTTTTAATTAGGTACAAGACTATTATTTATTATTTATCTATTTCCTTAAAATTTTCAAGACAGAACTAAAATGAATACTTGAGGCAGTTTGAACATTTGCCATAAGAGAGGCGTAGAGCTGGATCACATTGCTACATCGGTTCCCATAGTATAATCGAAGCCTTGTCAGTATCTAGATGAGTGACCGTTTAGGAATACGAGATGATCTAAGCTTGGATGTGCGGGTGGTGTAATGGATAAGGGCTCGGAATTGTTAATCAGAGAACCGAGTTCAAATTCCAGTTGGGTTCGTTATATTCACTTACGCGCAAATACTCTTGGGAAAGGTATAGACTCACTCTTCAACCCACCCTACCAGCAAAGCGTTTAATTAAGTCTTATTATAAAAAAAGAAAAATAAATTCTGACATCCTAAAAAACGACAGATAATCAAGTGGTTCGGACACCTCACTCTATCAACCAACCATCCGTACGAGCAGGCACCCTCAAGTACTCTGGATGGAGAGCGAGAAGCAGACCAAGAAGACGTGGCAGATACTCTCAGAGCCCACGAGATATCTCTCTTCTAGGTGACTCGCCTTGTCGCCGTTAGACGTGATCCCTAACAGTGCAAGCGAAAGGAAAAACTAAACTAAGACTATTTTAGATAACATGAAAAGGGACGTTAAACCATATAAACATCTCAATAAATACAAATAGAGGGAGGGATGTAGACTGACCAGCTCTAGACCAGATGTGGTTGCAATAATCTGCCCTGATCCGTCCCTTATAAAGATAATGCAGGGCAGAAGGCATTAGCTAATTTCTTGAGCTGTAGACGGAGCTGACCATTTTCCAGTATTAGAAAGCTTACAGTTACCTGTGTTTTTTTTTTAATCACTTCATTCCAAGTAAGGCGATAACTCTACTAAGACGCAATGAAAAACTTTAGAGGGAACCGCAAACTCAATAATGGTATACATTTCAGACTTTAGAGACTAATCATATATAAAAGACCGATGAGGAGTGTGAACCGGGCGATTGGTAAACCTATCTACTCCTGTTGTGGGAAAAAATTAAAGAAATAAAATAAAAAAATAATTAGTAAATATTTTAGAGTTTGGGAGGAGAAATTAGAAATATAGAGTTGAAGTCGACATTAGAAGGAAGCGGAAACCCAATCCTATACAGGAAAGAAGAGATAAACCTCTATTCCTGTTCAAAAACACCTGGGAGGAGTGTGAACTGGGTGATAGGCAAACCTACTTGTTAACTGCTTCATTTCTACACACTTCATTAAAGAAGAGAGTAAAAGGCTTTTTAGAAATATTGAACGCGAGATGTGTCTTAGACCTCTGCAGTTCTAGACGCTGAATTGTGACAAAAGCAGATCGATACAAATGCCCGCGTCTCCTCGTGCAAACAAAATTGCTTCTTAATGGTGTTTTATGGCATCGGCGCGCAAATTTTATCAATTTAAACGCCTTTCGAGATGCTGGTCGTCTTTCAATTTCTATGGATTCATTTTTACCTGAATAACTTTCCGTCTCTTTCGGATATTTTAGGTATCTCCCATCTGCGAAAACAACGTTTTTTTTTGTTTTTTTTTTTTTTTTATCGTGTTTCATACTGTCTTATATTATTTCCTTCTTTCTTTTCTATTTTTCTCTTCTTCTTTTCATTTCTCCCTTTCTTTTTCTTCTTTTCTCTCTTCTTTTTCTTCTTTCATGCCTATCAACTTTATCGCTTCATTTGTATTTTTATAGATCTTATTAATGACATTCCTTTGGCATACGTTCGTACACGCATACATGACTGTCGACTCATTAAAAGAGTATAGCAAGTTTGATCAATGTTTTTACTTCAAGTGAGAATGACAATGGCTCTTGAAGTCGGCAAATAACTTGTAATGCATATTGTAAGATGCGGCAAAGGAACATTATTTACATTATTCGGACTATTGTCCTCATCTTTGTCGCCATATTTATTACAACGTTTCGGCCGATATACGCTTAAGCCTTCTTCAGGTAGTTGGAGTGTCGAACTGAACCCTTTATTTCGTTCACTGGGGTAGATGTTTAATGAATGTCAGTTATCAGTTATCTCCTGTTAATTTCCCTCAACAAATGCTCCACTGTCTTAACCGGGTATTGAACTCACACTCTTTGGGTCCTGTCACTGGATCTAACCAACGCCTTTATCCAGTGTGCCATGTGTTCTTGAGAAGACAGGAGCGTACAAAGGTCGAAACGTTGTAATAAATATGGCGACAAAGATGAGGGCAATAGTCCGAATAATGTAAGTAGTGTAAATAATACCTCATATCAGAAATATAGACAGATACTGAAGAGCCGAAACATTGTAATAAATATGGCGACAAACATGAGGACAATAGTCCGAATAATGTAAATAGTGTACATAATACCTCATCTCAGAAATATAGACAGATACTGAAGGGCAGCAACGATGTAATAAATATGGCGACAAAGATGAGGACAATAGTCCGAATAATGTAAATAGTGTACATAATACCTCATATCAGAAATATAGACAGATACTGAAGGGCAGCAACGTTGTAATAAATATGGCGACAAAGATGAGGACAATAGTCCGAATAATGTAAGTAGTGTACATAATACCTCATCTCAGAAATATAGACAGATACTGAAGGGCAGCAACGATGTAATAAATATAGCGACAAAGATGAGGACAATAGACCGAATAATGTAAATAGTGTACATAATACCTCATCTCAGAAATATAGACAGATACTGAAAGGCCGAAAGGTTGTGATAAACATGGCGACAAAGATGAGGACAATAGTCCGAATAGAAATATAGACATATGCGGCAAACTAAGTTGTATTGTACAGAACTTGGCCGTTTTGTAATGTCTGTTCACCTTGCTCGGGGTTTCTTACGTGATGGGGGAAACGGGGATCGATTCTGCGGGTTTTCGACATCATCTGAAGTGTCTGCCGATATGACTTTACTCGTGGCTATTAAGGCCTACACTGGGGAAACCTACTCTGCCACATTCATCACATGAAAATAGGATGAGGTTATCAATGATTACCACTTATCAACGATTACTCATTTCCGAGCCTGTATTTTCCCAACTCATTGGATGTTCTTGGAAGATCTTAGTAATTTCATGAATTGCGTGCCTTCAAATATTTCGACCACAAGCAGCGTTTCTCCATTAAGGATCTTTAACCTACCTACCTACCTACCTACCTACCTACCTACCTACCTTTCTACCACCGCCAAATCAAACATAATTTTTATTATTTCAGAGGTTATTTTTTAGTATATACCCGTAATTTATTAGACGCTTAGTTTATTTTTAAAAATATTTTGTCCCATCTAACAGCTTGCCATTTTTAAATAAACGGATCGTCTAATACGGAGCGCTAGTAATAAATTTATTTCTGATGAATATAAGCATATTCATCTCATCAGACCGACTACACACACACACACACACACACACACACACACACACACATATATATATATATATATATATATATATATATATATGTGTGTGCGTGTGTTTAGGCAGCAATCCTTCTTTCATGCACATTTTATTGAAAACGACAGACAAGGTGCTTTGATTTGTTTTTTTATACAATTTCTGATGCGATCTAATAATTTATTTCTTTTCGGATGATAAATTATATAAATCATATATTCGGACAGTTTTATATAATTTATCATCCGAAAGAAAAGAAATATTAGATCGCATGGGAAATTGAGTAAAAACTAAATAGAAGCACCTTGTCTGTCGTTTTCAATGAAATGCATATATATATATATATATATATATATATATATATATATATATATATATATATATATATATGTAATGCTCTGTAATAACAATGGAGCAGTCCGGGTGACAGGAAAGACGTAGTTCCTGGGGCACAATCCGTTGTGTTATTAATACTTGGATGAATATCACCACGGAATTTGTGAGTAGCGGCGCTATATCGAGTCTATTCAGTTTCTTCCTCGTCACCGAGGCCCGTTGTTGCAGTTGGCAATGACGTTTGCGTCATATCGTAACGGTCCGGGTTCGATTCTTGGTAGTGGATGCGCACTGCTAATGAGTCCCAAAATAGTGCGAAACAGTCGTTCAGTGCTTTCTGCATTCTGTTGATGATTCATCTAGACTCGATGAATTACGATAAAGATTTCCCTAAATCACCCAAATTCTGTTATATATATATATATATATATATATATATATATGAATTAATCCGAAAATTATTTAATATATTATCTGTTTATACTTTATTTTTATAGATACAATTTATTTAAATAAATGCTGTTTTTTTAATTAAACTATATTAATTGCATTTACTGGCCTGAATGTTCAAGAAAATTCGTACAAAATATGCATTCTCTGACAAGAATCGAACCTGTATTCCTAAAGGAAAACTGTCATTTGATCTGACGTACTATACCATTTAGCTACAGGGAAGCGACTGTTTATAAATGTCTAAATTACTGTTTTTATAAACACAGAACTTTCGACAATTTTTTTCCCGATCGATCATATCTGCTCTCAATATATATATATATATATATATATATATATATATATATATATATATATATATATATATCCACGGACAGACTGTTTCGCTGTATCAAAGCTCATCAGTCTGAATAGACATCAGATCCCTTCAAGCCCGGACCGAAACTGATTTGGCATTAGTCGGAGATTCTTACCCCTACGCTATCGGCGAAGTTTTGCGTATTTATTTTTTCATAAGCACGCCAGTGGCCCTGAGGTCTTAATCCGTTGGAAAATCCTTGCATTATTAGCAGTAATAGTCATTGATTATATATTCGCGTTTTCTCCCCACAATGCTCGACCGAATTAATTTTCTTTTCGAAGGCTAACCGAAACCCGACTTATTTGGTATCAGATTCTAACCCATAGACTATCGGCGCCCGGCAGAAAGAAAGGCGAATTTTGGTGTATTTATTCACACACACACACACACACACACACACACACACACACACACACACATATATATATATATATATATATATATATATATATATATATATATATAATTATTTATTCGGAAATTATAATATAAATGTGTTATAAAATCACTACAAAAATAGCCACTATGTTTCAATACTATTTTTTTCGTACTAATCCTAAATTCAATGGAGGAGGTTATGTACTTCATAACTGAAAGGGGGTGGTTGGAGTTGGGATGTACCTATACTGGTTTAAAATTAACCTTCACATAAGGTTGGAAAGAGTTGCTAGTAAGATCTAGGCTGACGTCCAGAAAATCTACATGTTTAATGTTAGTTGAAACTATCGTCCTAAGACCTAATTTCTTAAATTCTCTATGGATCATTTTTCTAATACGGTCTTCCTTCATTTTTGTTTTACTTGGATATATATACATATACTTTTTTTTATACTTATATATATATATATATATATATATATATATATATATATATATATATATATATAATATAATAATAAGACGTTTAGATTATTAACATTAAAAAAGAGAATGTCTCATATCGAGAATATTTGACATCGAAAAATATAAAGAAAATAATTAATTATTTTTAATAATATGTGTAAATCTTCACCCTTTGTCAGATGACGGTCGCGAGACCGGAAACACGTGTAGCAAAATTATTGAAAATAAAGCATGATATTTTTTAAAAAATCCACATTACAACCAAAAACTTTTGCGATTTCTCTCTTCTTTTTAATATACACACTTTTCTCTTGTTGGAACTACTATAACCTCTTCCTTTTTTTTATATATATATATATATATATATATATATATATATATATATATATATAACTTAGCTATATATATATATATTTTAATACTTGGATATATATATATATATATATATATACTTAACTTAGCTATATATATATATATATTTTTAATACTTGGATATATATATATATATATATATATACTTAACTATATATATATATTTTAATACTTGGATATATATATACATATATATATATATATATATATACTTAACTTAGCTATATATATATATTTTTAATACTTGGATATATATATATATATATATATATATATATATATATATATATATATATATATATATATATATATTAATTCCGTTACTGAATGAATAAAAAACTTGATCGTTTTACTCATAACGAGTTCAAATTGTTTGTATCGTTGTCCATATTTTTTGTGTATGTGGGCAGTGGGATCACCTAGCACTGATGTCAAGCAATAAGTCTCCGATGACATTGGTGCAACAGTCCGTGACTTTAGGTAATTGCTTTATTGTGTGCATTTTCGCGCTAAGATCAGTTGGAAACCGGTATCATTCACTTTGTACAAATTTGCAAATCTGAACCAGCAATTTTCATTGTTGATGGCTCATGTGATGTTACTAGAAGTAGGGGCTCGCTCCTGCCCGAACTAATTGCTAGTAGTTATTGATCGGTATAATATACTAGTTTCTTTCCTTATTCCATATGTTTAGTATTAAAAACATGGGTAAATGTAATATATTATAATGTATATTTGTGTGTATTTATATGCGTTTCCGAGTAATTACTTTGGTATCTACGCTGTGTGTGTTTAAACGTACGTACACTACAGATAAAACAATATTCTGGGATTACCCTGCATTTCTTAAAAAGAAACATTAAAATTAGATGTTTTTGTATTTTTATAAAGTAAATGTATTTGCTTTTATTTTCC